ACAAGATGGCAGAAGTCTATAATTGTAGTTAAATTTCAAAAACAGTGAATCAGATTTTATTCATGTCTCTGTGTTATATAATTTTGTTTACATCTTTTTCTGTGTTGTATAGACAGGCTTTTTTTTTCTTTTACTCCTTGCTCTCCTAACATTATTTTTGTCTTTTTAGTTTTCTCTTTTCGCTTAAACTGGATTTGTCCCTATTTCTCTTTCTTCTTCCTTTATTTAAATTAATCATTTCTCTTTTTATTATGCATGCATATGTGTGAGCGCATATTCACATGTGTGCACAAGTATGTAGAGGTTGGAGGTTGACATCAGGTGTCTTATTTAATTATTCTCTACTCCATATTTTGATTCTGTCACTGAAGGTGACACTAACCTATTTGCCAGGACTGGTTGGCTAGCAAACTTGCTATCCCTTGCTCTATCCTGGAGTTACAGATGTGCAAATCACATTTGGCTTTTTTCCTTTATGTGAGTGCTGGGAACCCAAACTCAGTCCTTCATGCTTGCATGTCAGCCACTTTACTGACAGAGTATCTCCCTGATCCACTTCAGCATGAGTATCCCTATATCTACTTTTATGTTATGTAATTTTAAACTCTATGCCTCTCTTTTCAGTGGTAATTAGTGGCATAGCAGTTGGCATTAATACATTTGAAGTACATTTCTTTTGTTTGATTGATGGGTTTTTGTTGTGGTTGTTGTTGTTGTTGTTCGTTTGCTTGTTTGAGACAGGGTTTCTCTGTGTAGTTTTTGGAGAGACTGTCTTGGAATTCATTATGTAGACCAGGCTGGCCTTGAACTCACAGAAATCTGCCTGTGTCTGCCTTCTGAGTGCTGGGATTAAAGGCATGCACCACCACCACCGGGCTTTGAAGTGCATTTCCGTATTGTTTCCTCTCCCCTGAGTGGTGCTGAATTCTCAGTGAAGTCTCCTTTCTAAGAAGACTGCATAAAAGTGAAAGAGCTATTCATCCCAACAGACATACCAATTACAACACAGAAACACAGGAAACGTGAGGAGAGGCAGTGTGGTCACAACTTTTCAGTTACTAACAATCGAGCTTTTCCTCACACACGACTTCCAGACTGGAATCAGTGGGGTTGGTTTTCTTTTTTAAATATAACATGCCCCGTAGTCTTGGGCATTTGAACGCTTGGTCCCCGGTTGGTGATGCTGTTTGGGTAGAGTTAGGGGGCATGGTCTTGTTGGAGGAAGTACATCAAGAATTTGAACTCATACATTTTCCAATTTACTCTGTTTCCTGCATGTTCTGCAAGAGAGATAGTAGCTTTCTGCTCCTGCTGTCATACCTTCACTTCTGAATTATGGACTCTTATTCCTCAGGATCCCTGTGCCCAAACACACTCTTCTATAAATTGTCTTGATCATGGGGTTTTATCACAGCAATAGAAAAGTAACTAATACATAACCTAAGAATTGTACTATCCCACAGATCATATGTAATTAATAGACATCTGTAGAATATTATATCCAATAAGTTCTGAATGTACAGTCATTGCATTATCCCATAGAACTGTCTCTGACATATATTGCATTTTAGACTATAGCACAATACACACAAAGAGTATAGATAATTTCTTGTCTCTTATCAGAACACAGTGAATAAAACTAGAAACAAATAGCAAAAGCAGCTATAGAAACTATACAAATACATGGAGATTAAACAATAAACTCTAAAATGAACAGTGGCTAATTTAAAAAGGTCAAGAGTGATATAAAATTCCTAGAGTCAAGTGGAAATAACAACACAATTTATTAAACTCTTTGCAATATAGATAAGGTAGTTCTAAGAAGTTTATAGCCATGAGTGTTTACAGTACACAACTATAGAAATTACAAATAAATAGTAATGCATCTCAAAGTCTTGGGAAAACAGAGCAAGACAACCAAAAGCAGGAAGGGAATAGTAAGATCCAGGGAAGAAATTAATGAAACATAGAGTAAAAGAATAAAAAGAACCAATGAGGCAGAGGTTTGTTCTTTGGGGAAAAAATGAGCAAGTACTACCAATCCTCAGCCAAACTAACCAGAAGACAGACAGAATATCCAAATCCACAAAATTAGAGATGAAGAAGGAAACATTGCAACAGATATTAATGCAATTCAGAGGATTTGTGAGTAGAGTACTTTGGAAATTTTGTATTCCCAAACCTGAAGAGTCTAGAAGAAATGTATAAATTTCTTGACATATACAATCCACCAAAATTAAGTCAAGGGCATATAAGCAAAATGATACTGAAGTGTTACTAAATGTGTACCCAACAAAGATAAGATCAGGACTGCACAGAGTCACCACTAAATTCTACCAGACCTTTACCTTTAAAGAGGAGAAAACATCAGTGTTTCTGTATCAGTTCCATAAGATAGAAAGGGAAAGAACATTACAAAATTCATTTTATGAATCTAGTATCACCTTGACATCAAAACCAGATACCCTGTACGCAGAAAAAGAAAAGCAAACTGTAGACCAAACTCCCTCACTTAGATGCAAAAATTCCCAATAAAATAGTTGCAAACTAAATTCAACAACAAAAAATTCAGTTACAAAAAATCATATGTAATGATCAGATGCAATGATGCTTTAACATACACAAACCATTAAATATAATATATAAGTAGTCAAGGGGAAAGAAACCACAGAATCATTTCAATAATGCAGAAAAGGCCTTGGACAAAGTTTAGCATCCCTTCACAATCAAATTCCTGAAGAAACTCAGAATAGACAGAACATATATCTCAATATAATAGAGAGTATGACAGACCTATAAGCAACAATGTACCAAATAAGGAAAAAATAGAAAGTATTTCCTCTAGAAGAAGGAATGGGACAAGGGTATCTATTCTTTCCTCTTTTATTCAAAACAAGACTTGAAATCTTAGCTAAAGGAGTAAAGCTAGAGAAAAATAAAATTCATACAAAGAAGAAAGAACAAAGTTGAACTATCCTTACTAGATGGTATGATGCCAAACTTATGAAGGCCCTAAGGACTCCACCTGAAAACTCTTAGATGTGATAAACACATTCATCCAAGTGACAAGTACAACATGAACATATAAAAATCTGTTGACATACCAATAAGGAACTTTCTTTCTAGAAGGCAGTGCTTAAGTTTGCCAGCCTTCATCTTCACTTTACTCATCTTCATTACTGCTGTTTAATTTTGTGTGTTTGGTTTTTATCATACACTTCTTTATATATAAATATGCTGATCCTGTTACTGATTCATGAACAGTATCATAAATCCTACATCAACGCCTATCTAAATTTTAAGTGTTTTTCTTCTTGTTCCTATAGATTTTCTTTTCTTTTTTTAATCAATTTTTATTTAAATTAAAACCAATCTTATTTTACATACCAACCCTCACAGCTAAGCACTGAGTCGAATTCCTGGAATCTAGTTGTAGAGAGGGAGGAGTGATGAGCAAAGAGGTCAAGACCATTCTGAGGAAACCCACAGAAACAGCTGACCTGAACAAGGCAAAGCTCATGGACCCCAGTCTGAGAGCAGTGGAACCAGTATATATCTTTGGGAGCTCATTCCCTATGGAGGGATACTTTCTCAGCCTAGATACATGTGAGAGGGCCTAGGCCCTACCCCAAATATGTGACGGACTTTGATGATCACTAATGGGAGGTCTCACCCTCTCTGAGGAGTGGATAGGGGATAAAATAAAGGGGTTGGTGGGGGGAATGGGAGGATGGGAGGGAGAAGGAACTGAGATTGGTAGATTTTTTTTTACTTATTTAAATTAATTGGTTAAATGCAAGTAAATATATTATAAATAATAAATTATATAAGAAGTAAGTTTTATATCCATGGTAGCTTGAAAAAAAATCCTAGAGGAGAGGAAGAGATGGCTCAGAAGTTTAGAGCACTTGTTGCTCTTGCAAAGCGTCTGGGTTTCATTCCTAGCACTTGAGTGGTGGCTCACAGTCATCCATAACTTATATTCAGGGGTTAAGATGCTGAAGAAAGAAACTGAAGACAGTAGAAGGTGGAAAGACCTCCCATGATCACTGATTAGCAGAACTGAAATTGTGAAAATGCCTGTATTACCAGAAGCTATTTACAGGTAGAATCAATGTAATGACTATAAAAGTTTCAGTGACATTCTTAATAGAATTCAGGGGAGAAAAATTCCTAAAATTCACATAGAAGCACAAAGGCCCCCAAAGAACCAAAGCAATCTGCAATGGCTAGTTTAAATCGTCAACACAATCTAGAGTTACTTAAGAAGAAAGCCTCAGTGAGGGATTGTCTACACTGGGTTGGCCTGCAAAGCATGCAGTGTCTTAGTTAATCTAGTTGATGTGGGGTGACTCAGTCCACTGTGAATGGCCCTTTTCTTTAGGGAAGGGGTCTAGAATCGTATGGGAATCAAGAAGCTGAATGGTGTATAAGATAGCAATGAAGAAAATACATGCATCTATTTCTCTTTGCTCTTGGCTATGGGTATGACTAGCTTTCTTGACTACTGTGCTAACATAGACTGTAACCTAGTCTTGTTATCCAAATAAAACTTTTATCCCCTAAGTAGCTTTTTATTAGGGTATTCTATCATAGCAGAAGAAATTAAAATATGACACAATCCCAGGCAGAAAGAGCAAAGCTGAAAGTATAATATCTGATCTCAAACTACACTACAGAACCATAGTAACAAAACCATCACAGTACCAGTACATATGAACACATAGACCAATGGCATAGACAAGTAGACCCAGAAATAAACACACAGCTTCAGTTATCTAATTTTTGACAGAAGTGTCAAAAATGCATTGGGAAAAAGAATCTTTCTGACTCCAAGTCTCTAGCAAGAGATCTGAGTCTGATTCCAAATGACTTCTTACATAGGGCTCAGTATAACGGGAGAGCAAAGTGTGCAGAGGGACCGGAACATAATGAGGCAGAGAGAAGCAGAGCCTTACATTTCATATTCATTATCAACCTTTCATCTTGCTCATTCACAGATTTGACAAGCGTTGTCACCCTTGTCATTAAAACTTTGAGATAAAAGAAAAGATGCAAGAATTGGGATATGAAAAGGAGGGAACGTGAGAAGAAAACAGACCCATTTCTACTCTCACGTATTTCAAGTGGTAAGTTAAACAAACAAACAAAAAATACATAGTTCTATGAAGACTGAGACAGAGTGAGCAGACAGAGCCAACTCAAGGCTCGGATGGCTTGAGGCTGCTAAGAATAAGAAACACGGGTGGGGGTAGAATAGGGGGAAGAGGGAATCATAGGTTAGAAGACAGATCAGGCACCAGAGTGACCTCGAGTGATCTAAAGGGATAACACCAATTGGCAAGCTAAGCAATAGTGGAGAGACCACCTCGAATGCCCATTCCTGATAATGAACTTGATGTCTATAACCATCCTGGAGCCTTCATCCAGTGATTAATGGAAGCAGAGGCAAACACACAATTAAGCACTGAACTGAACCCAAGGAACTCAGTGACAGAGAGAGGAGTGATGAGCAAATTGGCATAGAATGGGCTGGCAAAACCAGCAGAGACAGCTGATCTGAACAGGGGAGAGCTCTTGGACCCCAGACTGACAGCGGGGAGGCCAGCATGTGACTGATCTGGACTCCCCAAATGTGAGTGTCAGCAAGAAGGCCTGGGCAACCTATGGGGCCCTGAGCTGTGGATCAGTGTCTATCCCTGAAATACAAACGGTCATCGTGTGCCCATAGCACAAAGAGGGATGCTCTCTCAGCCTGGACTCTTAGGGGAGTGCCTGGACCCTACCCCGAGTGAAATGACAGACTCTAGATATCCCCTATGTGGAAGGATTTGGCAATAGGGTGGGAGGCTGGGGGGAAAGGGGAGTGCAGGAGGAGGGGAGGGAGAGGGAACTGGGATTGACATGTAAAACAAGCTATTTAAAATTAAAATAAAAAATGATAAAATAAAAAAGAATAAGAAACACGTTCAATACAGAACTTTACTTACAATTTTTAGTAGTCAAAAAATGATGTGGTTGGAATATTTCTGTTTTACCTCCCCATGACCAACTTCTCTCTGCATTTCTGGAATTACCCATGTGGATATGCAGTGGTAATCTGAGTGGACAACATGTTACAACCACAGATCATTCAGTATTTCCAGGGAAATTCTAAGGAACATGAACTGGTGTCTCCTTATATTGTTCTGTTCCACCCATCACCTCTAGTATGAGGAGCCATTCCTGACTCAGTATGTAATTAAAGCACTTTCCCAACTGTCCTTTAGACATGGAAACTGCAAAAGACTAACTGATAAATCAGGCAATAGGATGAAACTCAGCCATCCAAGCATTTCTTAGTAGTCTCATGACCAAAGTGTGTTGTGGCTTCACAGGTCCTCACCCTCAAGTTCCGGTGAAATAGTAGGCTCTCATATGTACTTATAATTTGTAGTAGTCAAAAAATGCTATGATTGGGATATTTTTATTTTACCTCTCCATGACCAAATTCCCTCCAGGTCTCTGGAATTACCCATTGTGGATAAGCACTGGAAGTCTGATTGGTGAACATGTTATAACCACAGAGTCCAAAGGTTTTACCAGTATCATTCAGGGAAATTCCAAGGAACATGAACTGATTTCCTAAAAGCAACTGACACTTAAGATGTTTGAAAAAGCCATATGAAACCTATTGTTTTATGAGCTTCCTATATATATATATATATATATATACATACATAAAAGTTTAATTAGCATTACCATACACAGAGGATAATCCAGGTTGCCAATTTAAAAGTTCCAGATAAGGAACAGCTAAACCTCAGGTCAGAGGTGTTTCAGAGAGACCTCAAACAATACACACCATTGCCATTTTCCTTGGATTCCCATCAGAACTTGATGGTAAGACCCTATTTGTAAAGACACCAGACAGTTTGGTCATGGGGCCTGGAGAAAACAAATTGGTACTAACCAGGAAGCTTTCTCCCTTCTGGCTGGCTCTCATAGCACAGCAAGGTACTGCAGTGGGCTGCCTAAGGAGAAAAGTCATCAGCAGTGTTACCTAGCTGTGAACCCTGCCAGCCACAATAACATGTATTCATTTATGCAGTAGTGGGATTAACCCATCCTTTCTCATTGAATTTAAGGCCATAGGACAGAACTCATGACCTGATTGTGTAAGCCTGGCCAAGAACCCACAGCGGGGGAGCTCATAAGCCCCAAGAAGCAAACCCACTGCTATTACATTGCTAACTGGACACAGTACCAAACTGCCTTTAAATCTGTATTTGTATACCTACACGTTTGTGCAGCTCTCAGACCTCCTTTATAAAGTTTCCTTTTGCAGTTGTCAGCAGTTAACACAGAAACTCACAACTGGTAAAACTGCAGAGAATTAGTGGCCATGGAATGCTCAGCCATAAATGGGACATCCATATCACACCCTTCCCCTGCAAGTCTCGGGAAATATTATGGAAGATGGGGCAGAGAGATATATAATCTAGAGATTGGAGAGGATCAGGACAAAATACTGTGTTCCTGACAGGACAGAACTGCTGCACTCATGAACTCATGGCAACTGGGGTTGCCTGCACAATACCTGAATGAGATCAAGCCAATCAACATTCAAGCATGGATCTGGGGAGGGGCTTATGAGCTCCTAACCCTGGCTGGGAAGCTGTTGATAGTTGGTGGTTTCTGGGAGGAGGATAGTAAATTTTCTCCCGGGGTGTGGTCCTTGCTTGGTGGACCATGCTCCAGGGGATGGCCCCACAGCTGAATTCAATTTCAGTAGGTTATTAAAAAGAGAGGGAGAAGGCACTGGAGAGATGGAGTAGTGGTTTAGAGGACTTTCTACTCTTTCAGAAGACCAGAATACAGTTCTCTTCATCCACATCAGGTGACTCAAAAATCCTGAAACTCCAGTTCCAAGGGATCCAATGCCCTCTTCTATCCTCTGTGACTACCTGCATTCGTGTACACACACACACACACACACACACACACACACACACACACACAATACATATTCTGTAAAAATAATTACATGAGTAGATAAATAAAAATATATTAAATTGTTTTGGAAAAGGAAATGAAGTTAGCGGGAAGGGATGAAAAGTGGACCCTCGAGAAGTTAGGGGGAGGAGTAGATGGTAAGTATGGTAGAAATACACCATAAGTACAGAATTCTCTCCTTAAAAAAAACAAATTTCAGTTTAAAAACTTACAAATGTAGAAACATCACATCAAAATTAACCAGACTCAAAGTCCATACAAGCATTGAATTTACATGTCATTAGAATTCAAATTTGAAATGGAGACTGAGGAGCCTCAGATTAAATTTTACACTTTCAATATTGAATGTGTATTTTTTAGCCTTTTGTTTTTTTTTGCTTTTTGAGACAAGGTTTCTATGTGTAGCTTTGGAGTTTGCCCTGCAACTCACTTTATAGACCAGGGTGGCCTCAAACTCATAGAGATTTTCCTGGGATTAAAGTGCTGGGTTTGAAGGCATGTACCTTTATGTACTTAGCAGCCACTAGAACAGCAACAACAAAACCCATGGCAGAACTAGTACTTTTCTAATATCTTTATGTCATCTTTCGTAACTGTGTCTATTACTTACATTCAGTCCTTTCTCATGCCCTCATATTTAACTTTCTCGGTGTGGTGATATTTTGTTTATGATCTAACAAATAAAGTTTGCCTCAAGATCAGAGCACAAAGCTCGACACACTGGTTAGCCATGGAGGCCAAGCAGTGGTGGCACACACCTTTTTTTTTGTGGCTAATTTTTTTATTTTATTTTCCAGTTTAAATTTATATAAGAAACAAGTCAGTTCCAGGTCCCTCTCCCTTTCCCTCCCCTCCTCCCGTGCCCTCCCCCTAACCCTCCCCATTATCCCCTCATTCCCCCAGGGAGGGTGAGGCCCTCCATGGGGGTGTCCATAGTGTGTCATTTCATATAGGGCAGGGCCTAGACCCTTCCCCAAGAGTTCAGGGTGAGAGTGCACCTCACATTGTTCTATGGGAGTCCAAAGTCCGTGTGTATACTTGGGATGGGTACTGATCTGCTGCCCAAGGCTCAATAGGTTCCCTAGGCCTCTTCACTGACACCCAGATTCAGGGGGTCTTGATCAGTCCCATGCTGGATTCCCAAGCTGATGCCTGGGATTCAAGAGTTAACCTTTGTCTGGTCAGCTGTTTCTGGGGGTTAAACCAGCCCAGTCTTAATCCCTTTGATCATCAGTCCTCCCTCTCTGTTACTGGCTTTCTTAGTTCAGCTCAGTACTTAACCGAGGGAGTCTGCCTCTTCTTCGATGAGCCACTAAATGAAGTTTCTGTTTCCCAGGCTCTCTGGCCATAGGATTGTAGGCTGGCACTCCCCAGATCTATGTCTAAAATCCATATATGAGAGAGTACATGCCATGTTTCTCTTTTTGTGACTGGGTTACCTCACTCAGGATGGTTTCTTCTAGTGCCATCCATTTGCCTGTGGATCTCAGGATTCCATCGTTTTTTTCTGCTGACTAGTACCCCTTGCAGCCACACTAGTTAGCCACGGAGGCCGGGCAGTGGTGGTACACGCTTTTAATCCCAGCACTCAGGAGACAGAAGCAGTCAGATCTCTGGGCTACATAAAATTGATCCAGTCTAAAAGAGAAACAGAACTCACACAAAGGTGATCACATCATTGAGAGTGACAGCCTTTAACCCCAGCACTAAGGAGATGGAGACAAGAAGGGATATGGCTGGGCTGAGAAAGGAATATAAGGCGAGAGGAGACAGGAGCCCATGGCAGTCTGAGGCAGTCAGTGTGAGGCAATCTAGAGGCTTCTTGGAGACAGGATGGCTCTTTTGTCTGAGGCAGAGGTACAAACTAGTGACTGGATGTTTTGCTTCAATGATCTTTCACCTCCCCCAATATGTGAATTTTTATTATTAAGACCAATTAGAACTCTTGCTACATCTTGGTCTCTTTTCTTCATGCTATTCTGTGCCCACTTGTACATTTGCTTACACATGTACACATATGTGAAAGACACCGCATATGAAAGAACATTTGTTTTTTTTTGAGATTATATAACCTTGCTTAATATTATACATTTCAAGTCCATCCATTTTCCTGTAAATTTTTAACATTTTTTTA